TTAAAAAAAAAAAAAAAACCGGGTTACAACACCTATTGAGCAGTCTAGCTATACGCGATTTTACGGCATCGTAGTAGCGTTCGAATGCGTCTGGTCCGCCAAATGCCGTTTTGGCTGTCAGTTTTACTACTGGTTTATAATAGTAGTGAAACCTGAATATGTAATGGTATTTTTCTCTAGACTGAGCCAACATGTAGGTAGTGTTAACAAGGAGAGGAACTCAAAAATCCGTTTGGTTTTAAATGTCTCCATACATTTCTCCTCGTGTTTTCTTAAAAAAATGGTTTTGATATAACTGATGTTACAAACGAAAGAATATACAAAATATTTGGTTTCCCTCCACCTATAAAATTTAATTAGCCTGTTTCAGTGTGCCTAGAATACAATAGAATGGATTTTCCCCATAACAATGTAATTCTACATAATTGGTTTTTGGTGGACAATTTGATATGATCTGCTGTTTTGATTCAAGAGTGGAGTCAAATCAAAACACTAGTTAACACCTTTATGTTTGAGCCCTCAGGAAAAATTATACTTAAAACACATCAAACCTGGGAAAAGTAAGCCAAGCAAACCAACCATATATGACTAAACGCTGTATACAAAACAAGCAACAATAGTAAAAAATTATGGGTGGGTGATATGACCAAAATCTTATCAAATACCCACGTCACAATAATGATTGCGGCTGTATGAACTATATAATTATTTCACTGAAAATATGGCTATATTCCCAAAAAGTTGATTAAATTTTACAACTCTGCAAAAAAAAAAAAAATTATATATATAAATAAAAATAAGCAAACTACAAATCAGTACAAACTCTTAGTATATTGGAAGTATATTATAGTATATGAAATTTCAACTGGTTGTAAATTCCACCATTTAAACTAGTATAACCCTACCCCTTAAAATAAAAATAAAAACTCAGGTCAGTAAAAATTTAGCACGGAAACAGTTGGGTTTGTAAAGCTTTACTTTATTAAAAAGATCATTGCAATTTTCAAAGCAAAAAAAAAAAAAACTCTACAAGTAAACAAATCACAACGTACTCTTCAGCTCATATAATACACTGACTAAATCACAACATAGCTCATTCACCACCTTACCCACAAATCACTGACCACAGGACACTGGCTCAACACTGAAATTAAAACAATGGAGCTCTTAAAAAAAAAAAGTTTACAATCTGAAGGAGGGGGGAGGAGAAAACAAAAGGGGGACACGTAAAAGGGAAGGGGGGAAAAAAAAAATCATATGATGATAGTGATGCTTTTACAAGGAGCTTTCATTAACGTGGGGAAGGAGAAGAAAAGAAATAGCTTTGTAGCTACAGTAGAACCAGTATTGAAATCATGGAGATAAAATGTATTTCAGCCCTGAGGCAAAGGTGGGGAATGGGGGAGAAGCATCAGTATTCAGATCAGTCAGCATTCGGTGTTGGACTTCTCCTTGGGCTGGCAGACCTGGAATGACTAAGACAAAACAAAGTGTCAGAATCTGCTCATTTTCTACAAGAACAAAATAACTGAAATGTGCCATCGTGTAAATTTGCATTCACCTGTCTTTCTTGTGACTGACCGAACGAGACCGAGACCTGGACACACTACGATCTCTCTGTCTAGAACCAGATCGTGAACGGGAGCGACTACAAATACAAAAACAAACAATTTAAACTGAGAAAGCACGTACAACACTAATATATTTTACTTCACACACGCAAAACTGAAATAAATTAGCATGAGTAAATCAAGTACCCGTCTCTACCGACAGGCGTTCTGGATCTGGACCTTCGGACAGGGCTTTTTGACCTGCGTACAGGTGAACGTGAACGCCGCACAGGGGTTCTGGATCTAGAGCGGGCCGGAGAGCCTGACCTAGAACGCAAAGGTGAAGTTTAAAAAAAAAATAAAAACAATAGCCCAGACAATTTAGAAAGGCAAGGGGTCCTACAGAAAGATTGCAGCAAGTAGACATACTGCAATTAGAACTGGTAAAAACAGGACTGTGGCCTGATAACACAACTTACCTGCTTCTGCGTTTTGAGTATGAAGGTGAACGGTACCTCCTATAATTTTTTTTTTTTAAAAAGTCACAAAATCAGATTGATGCATCTAGACTGTAAATCTGTCCAAACACAGCTGAAGCAGTGAGAGGACTTGCCTTTCATTGCTGCGGCTACGAGAGCGGTAGCGTCGGCCACGAGATCTGGACCGAGAGCGAGATGCTGACCTTAAAACAAACAAAAACAAAATGAAAGATTAGCAATAAAACAGTGTCAGGTTCCAATGCAATAAAAATAAAAAAAGTTGGCTAAGTACCTGCTGCGTCGACTACGCCGCTTGCTGAAACGATAACAGTCGTAGGCATAATGACCACTCTCCCCACACTGGTAACAGCGGTCGTTGGGGTCAAATTGTCTGCGACTGGGACGGCCATAACGAGACTTTCTGGACATACCATTAGACAGCTCAACTCTCACGCGGGATCCACAAAGCACCCTAGGATATTACAGATCAGAAGGTTATTTGTTTCTCTATGCCAAACAAAGATGCACTCAATATGTGTGTCCCAGCTGTTGACAATTCCCCCATGACATCCTTGTTTTTTTGTTTTTTTTTCAGGAGCTACACACTTTACCTAGATGCAGGCTAACGTCAGATAAACTAAGAAAAACAACTGAACAAACTAACAACAATTAATCTGCATCCAGGATAATACCAAATAAGTTGGGGCCTTTGTGAGCGGAAAAAGAACAGTGATAAACCGCCGACACTCACCCCTGCGGGTCTGAGCTCCCTGAAGCGGTCAGGGGGTTAAATGTGCTGCAGTAGCATCATGGCAAATGTAGGCAGGTAGAACTCAAGTTGACTCACTTTCCATCCATCCCCTTTACAGCATCCTCTGCATCCCTGGCATCCTCATACTCTACGAAGGCGAAACCTGGAGGGTTCCGGGCAACCCACACGCTCCGCAATGGTCCATAGTAACTGAAGGCTCGTTCAAGCTCACCTTTGGCTGCACCATTGCCAAGGTCACCGACATAGACCTTACAGTCAGCGGCGCGAGAGGAACTACGAGATGAGTAAGACATCTTGCACCTGTAGTGTGGACAATGGTTAAGAAATTAATTGGTACTAATTTGTAACCTTCAGTAAAAAAAATTTTTTGTTAAAACTTAATTTTAAACCTGCTACTATATAGTACAAGATAACCGATTCCACAAATTAATTAACACTCAAATCAATGCACATTTTCCAAAACACACAAAAAACAAAGTCTTAGAAATCCATTAAACCAGGGGGTTAAGGACCACTGGGGGTTTCTAAAGGTTAGTGGAAAAGCTATAAAAACTTGTTTTCTAAATCTAAAAATCTAACTCACAACCGGCCAAAGGGACAATCCACCAAAACGGAAAATGGTCATTTTACTCAATTTACTCACCCTCACACAAATTCAAATCTGTAGGAC